TATAATGTATATTAATTTTAACATTAAAATAAAATTAAATGTAACAATTGAGCTTTACTATTGAAGTATGTATAACATATGATTTGAATAAAACATATTAATTTTTGTTATGTAATAATTCACAGGGACACTAACCAACATCAAAATGTTCTCCAATCATATGGCAACCGTTGTGCGACTTGCTGCACAACAGCAGCAACAACAACGTAATATGGCTACTCTCAAAGCTATTTCTATAAGACTAAAATCTGTAAAAAACATTCAAAAAATTACACAATCAATGAAAATGGTGTCTGCTGCTAAATACAGTAGAGCAGAACGTGATTTGAAACAAGCTCGTCCACTTGGTGTTGGTACAAAAGCCTTTTATGAGCAAGCAGGAATCGAGGCACCTGCAGATGAGCCTAAGAAACTTGTTATAGCAGTAACAAGCGATCGTGGTTTGTGCGGTGCTGTGCACACTGGAGTTTCTCGTAATATTCGGGATGCTTTATTAGCAGACCCTAAAGAACGTGAAAATACGAAAATTGTATGCATTGGCGATAAATCGAGGGCAATTTTATCGCGTGTGTTTGCTAGTAATATACTTTTTGTCGCATCTGAGGTTGGGCGCAAACCACCCACATTTAATGATGCTGCTAAAGTAGCAACTGAAGTTATGAATAGCGAGTATGTATAATACTAATAATTCTATTAGTATATGATTTTTTAATTTCTTTTTTTAATATATATATATAATGAATAATGTTGATTTATTATGTAAAGGTACACCTTTGGTTCTGGGCGCATTGTCTACAATCGATTTAAGTCAGTAGTGTCATATTCTGTTGACCAGTTACCTCTTTTTGATAAAAATTCGGTGATCACAGCACCCAAGTTGTCTGTGTATGATTCCCTCGATGAAGAGGTAATTCAAAGCTATTTAGAATTTTCTTTGGCATCTTTGTTGTTCTATGCCATGAAAGAAGGTGCCTGCAGTGAACAGTCTAGCCGTATGACAGCTATGGACAATGCTAGCAAAAATGCAGGCGAAATGATAGATAAATTAACTTTAACATTCAATCGCACTCGACAAGCTGTAATTACAAGGGAATTAATTGAAATTATTTCTGGTGCTGCTGCATTGGATTAAATATTGTAAAAACTTTTTAATAAAATTAATGCACAATAGTTGTGGCATGTAGATCAAATGAATACTATTATGTTGAGATTGGATGTGCTATTGTACAGGAAGACAACTTCAACTGTATAGGTGCACTAATATTTATAAATCCGTATAAAAAATAAGTCATTCAAGCACCACAGAAACACTGTATTTCTTAATGTTCTGGAGAAAACTGCCAAGCGAAATAAATAATTCCGTCAAGTTTCAGTGTTTTAGATTGATTAGATCTCCTGAATATCCCTATAATAAAGTGCAATCCCCTAACTTTCATTCAAGCTCATAAAAGTTAAAAGATTCTCATGGAAATACAGACATGTTATAAATGATTCACTTCTCTTGATATAACTTACATTTATTAAATATAAGTTTTTATATAGTACGTTTTAAATTTGCCGCGATGCTTTTAAGCGCCAGCACAGCGCCATTAAACGTAGTGGCAAAGTGTCCAAACTGCTCCATAAAATTATCAACGGTTGATGAAATATATTGAGTTGCTGCGAGTTGCGATCTAAAGCCTTGGTTTTGATGGCAAAATAATTCATTCAGTGTCAAGTCTACTCCTATATCTCGTCTGTGGTACTACCACGTGCATTTCTGCGACGTTTACAAACGTAACCTGAAAGTCATAACAAATATTAATCATGGAAGAAAGTCGAAAAGTACATGTTGTGCTTGACGAATATGGCATACCTAACGTGAGAATAAAAAACATATTTAACATACCGAAGTTTGTGTGAAAGATTGATAATATTTTGTATTATTTTTTAGGCATCTGACTATACAAATTATATACCACAAAAAGACTGGAATTTACAAAATTACAAAAAGGTAAAGTCTCAGTTAAAATTCGATACTTATAGTAATGTACAAAATATCTTATACAATTGAGATTTACAAAATTTGATATATTTTGTCTACAATTTTATATAGTCTACCAATCAACTAATAATTTGATTATATTATTTTCAGGAATTTAAATTACAGGTCATTAGGGAATCTGAAGATGGACGCGAGTTAGAATTTGATTTAATTGGTTATCCAGTTGGTTTTGCTAATGCATTTCGCAGAGTTCTTTTAAGTGAAGTACCAACTATGGCTATAGAAAAAGTTTATATTGTAAATAACACCAGTTTAATTCAAGACGAAGTCCTTGCTCATAGGTAATGAATAGAAATTTATATGTACATAACATTTCACAGTATGCTTTTTATGTAAAACATTTTATTTTACAAACTTAAAGATTAGGTCTTATACCACTTCGAGCGGATCCTAGATTATTCGAATATCCTTCTTCTACCACTAAAGATGAAGATGAAGTTAGTGATCAAGACACATTGAGATACGAACTTAAAATTGCATGTACTTGGAACTCTCAAGTTCCAAAAGATGCCAGGAGAACAACAGATATCTACAAAAATAGTAACGGTATATTGATGTTGTATAAAGTATAAAATTGATATTAAATACGTTGTTTTGTTAAGATTACAGTAGATAATATAGCCGTTTCATTTTAGTTTATAGTAAAGAGATTAAATGGGTCCCAATCGGACGTCAAGCAGAACTTTATCCTCAAGGAGCAGAGCAATTAGGTGTTTTAGAGAACGACATTTTAGTATGCAAAATGCGACCTGGTCAAGAAATCCATGCCTTTATGCACGCGGTGAAAGGAATTGGGAAAGATCATGCTAAATTTTCACCTGTAGGTAAGTTAAAACATTCAAAAAATATGTTCTTAACTTACATGTTCGTTGTGTTGGGTGAATGCAACAGTTCGCGTCCGCTTTCAAGACGTGTTTAAATATACAGGTAATTATTTTATATTTTTTTTATATTTAGCTACAGCATCATATAGATTACTGCCAGAGATACGAATAATAAAGCCAGTTAGGGGAGAAATGGCAGATCGTTTAAAAAATTGCTTTAGTGTTGGTGTTATTGAAGTAATTGAACATAAGCCAGGTGATCCAGATTCGCGGGAAGCTCGAGTAAAAAACGCCCGTTACGATAGTTGTTCTAGGAATGTATTTCAACATGATGACCTTAAATCGTGTGTACGCTTAAGTAGAGTACGAAATCATGTGATTTGTAAGTAATATTTCTATATATTGCATATAATCTATATACAGCATATTATTAATAACATTATTTTATTATAGTTACTATCGAATCTGTGGGAACTTTACCACCAGCTGTATTATTCACAGAAGGTATAAAAATTCTTAAGGGAAAATGTAAAACATTTTTGGAAGAACTTGAAAATATTAGTCAATAAATATGTGTTATTTTGCAAACAATATTTTTTTATTCTCATAATGACGAGAACCAGAAAATGTTGGAAATCCAACGTTTGAGACAGATCGGGTTTGCGTGAAAATTTTCTCGCTTGTTTATCGCCATACTCCAACAAGCAAAGTGATCCCACTATTCTCCTACCCTTGGTGCAACCTCCCCATCTGTTCGTGCCTGGTTTAGAAATAGCCTTAATGAAATACATGCATACATCCATGAATATATCCATCCAATATCCAGGTAATCATATAAGCATTTCAGCGTACGTTAATATTTACAAATGATCGTCAGCAACGTACTGTCTCAGGTTTGGAGCTTGGAGCGTTCTAACTATGTAATAACCCTTCTGTAATAATTTCACGGTGCACAAGTGGATAACTTTCAATTAAATACCGTGTTATCGAAGTTAGGTAATGTAGGAAATTGTAATGGAGCCAAAAGTACATATATGTACATACTGGCTTTTTAGTTGCAATATCTTGCCACCGCGAACACAGCAGTGTTCTCATCTCATGTACAATATACACAATGGTGCGCAATGGTTCCAACCATTCCGACATAAAAGAGTTAAGCTGACGTGTATCCTATTTTTCAGTTTCTTGACTGTGGTTTTGTAAAATGAATACATTTAAACGGGATAAAAAGGAGGAGGAAGATGGTAACTATGAACATACGTGCTTTACCTCTCATATTAATGTAAATTTTAAATTGTAATCGAAACTAAACGGGTCAGCCACGTCCTTGTGGCAGTTCCTACCGAACAGGTTGAGACGGCTTTTTCGTAAAAGTTCGAAGAAACAGTAGCATTCCTTCACTGAAATCTTTCCACCTGTATCTCTTACCCGAGTGACATTCAGATGGTCGATTTTATTATGTTTTCCTTAACATAATCTTTTTTTCTTTAGGTGGGGGGAATCCTTACCAAAATTTGGAGAAGACAACTGTTCTCCAGGAAGCACGTACCTTTAATAATACACCGGTTAATCCAATAAAATGCGCGCACATTCTTACAAAACTGTTGTACCTGTTGAATCAAGGAGAACAGTTAGGGACAATGGAGGCTACAGAAGCGTTCTTTGCTATGACCAAATTGTTTCAATCCAAGGACGTTGTGCTAAGACGTTTGGTGTATCTAGGTATCAAAGAACTCAGTTCTTTGGCGGAAGATGTGATCATAGTGACCTCTAGTCTAACGAAAGATATGACTGGAAAAGAAGACTTGTATAGAGCTGCAGCCATAAGAGCTTTATGTACCATCACAGACGTTGGAATGTTAGCAGCTATTGAACGATATATGAAGCAAGCTATCGTAGATCGTTCCCCTGCAGTTTCTAGCGCAGCCCTGGTTTCTTCGTTACATTTGACCAATGTATCTGAAGATGTTGCACGCAGATGGGCAAACGAAGCCCAAGAAGCATTAAACTCCAACAATGTAATGGTTCAGTATCATGCTCTAGGTGTTTTATATCAAGCTCGAAAATCTGATAAACATGCGGTAGTTAAGTTAGTCGCAAAACTTATGAGAACCAGTCCAAAGAGTCCCTATGCTGCTTGCATGTTAATTAGAATGGCATGTAAAATACTGGATGGAAGCGAAGAATTAGTAAGTTTCCTCGAATGCTGTTTGCGACAAAAATCGGAAATGGTGGTGTACGAGGCTGCGCATGGATTGGTGAACCTCACCGGAGCCGTTTCTAGGGAAATAGCTCCAGCCATTAGTGTTCTTCAACTGTTTTGCGGATCGCCTAAACCGGCTTTAAGATTTGCAGCAGTTAGAACGCTGAATAAGGTCACAATGATCCACCCAGCGGAAGTTACAGCTTGTAACCTGGACTTAGAAAATTTGATCACAGATTCTAACAGGTCGATTGCTACGCTAGCAATCACCACTCTTTTAAAAACTGGTGCAGAAAGTTCGGTAGATCGATTAATGAAACAAATTGCTACTTTCGTATCCGAAATCTCGGATGAATTTAAGGTCGTAGTTGTTCAAGCCATAAGGTCAGTAATCAATGAACACGTTCCTCTTTAATTGAGTTATTTTTGATCGATGAGTTACAATGAATTTCATTCGATTTCATTCTTAATTTGAATTTTGTTTTAGGGCTTTATGTCAGAAGTTCCCCCGCAAGCATGTGGTTCTTATGAATTTTCTGTCTGCTATGTTAAGAGACGAGGGAGGCCTTGAATACAAGGCAGCAATCGCGGACACAATAATTGCTGTTATGGAAGGAAACGCCGAGGCAAAGGAAGCAGGTCTGGCACATCTCTGCGAGTTCATCGAAGACTGCGAACATATTTCCCTCGCTGTTCGCATTTTGCATTTGCTAGGGCAAGAAGGGCCAACTTCCAAGCAACCATCCAGATACATCCGTTTCATTTATAATCGCGTGATCCTGGAGAGCGCCAGCGTTCGAGCAGCTGCAGTCACCGCATTGGCACGTTTCGCTGCTGCGTGTCCTCCATTGTTACCAAACGTGTTAGTCTTATTGTCACGTTGTCAGTTAGACTCTGACGACGAGGTTCGTGATCGTGCAGCTTACTATTGCGCCATACTCCAACAGCAAAGTGATCCCACTGTTCTACCACCCTTGGTACAACCTCCCCATCTGTCCGTGCCTGGTTTAGAAATAGCCTTAATGAAATACATGCATACATCCATGAGTGAACCATTTGATATATCTCAGGTAATCATATAAGCATTACAGCGTACGTTAATATTTACAAATGATCGTCAGCATCTAATCGATGAAATTTTGATTGTTTACAGATTCCTTCGACACAGACAGTGGACGAATTATTGAAAACTGTAGATCAGATAGTTGACAAAAAACGAAGAAGTTTAATACGAGAACGATGTATCATAGATCGGTTACTAGATATACCACAGTTGGAGGTGTTGATTTGCAATTCGATACTGATCAAATCATCGCCTGAATTCGATCTAACAGAATCGGAGACAGAATACCACGTAAAGTGCATCAAGCATACATTCTCGGATCTTGTTGTTTTAGAATTCGATTGTATGAATACGCTTCGCCATCAGTGTTTAGAAGATGTAACGGTAGCTCTTGATCTATTTCGTGAGGGGTAATTACATTTTTGTATACTTTACTCGAATAACAAAGTACATAAAACATTTTTGACGTGACAATATTCTATTGATTTTAGTTATACGGTCGTCTGCGAAATTCCGTGTCCAGCTCTACAGTACTATGAACCAGCAGCAACGTACACAGTATTAAAATATCCAGAAGATCTTCAAGCTAGCATCACAACCCTTCCCGCAACTCTGCGATTTACGGCTCAAGACTTTCATCCTATCACAGGAGAGTTTCCACCATACAAGGACGAGTATATGGTGTGCCATTCTACTCTTTCCACTAGAAAAGAAAAAACAAACAGTCAATATTTGAGCGTATTCGCTTCTGTTTCTAGTTGGACATCGTAGAGTTGACACTAGCTGATCAAATTCGAGGATTGTCAGAGACGAGTGTAGATTTCAATACTGCATGGGCAGCAGGCACCGCGCAGGGATATACCAAATTGGAGGAAACGTTTGCTTTAGGGCCATCTGTGTTTAGCTTGGAGGGAGCCGTTCAAATTCTCACTGAATTTTTGGGCCTGGATCAGGTAGACCGGACGAATCGAATTCAATCGGGCGCCACTGCGCATAATCTGTTATTGGGCGGTTATTTCAGAGGTGATAAAGAAATTCTTGCACGTGCAAGATTAGCATTATCCGGCACTCAAGTGACAATGCAATTAACGGTTCTATGTTCAGATCCGGATGTTGCTGAATTAATCATCTCTTCTGTAGGATAATTCGAAACCTAAGTATTTCATCATATTTCGGGGTCAGCGGGTCTACATATATATGTATATAACGGTAATCTATGTCACCACGATTTCGATATTTTTAGTATTATAAGAATAAGATTACATTAGCGAAAAAACACAGAGCTGTTGTTAGCAGTTTCTATTTCCTACATATAATTATAAAACTATATTTTAACCGAGTCCGTTAAGATCTTCATTATTTAGTTACGTATGTGTACATAGGGAGATGTTTTGTTGTATGACCCGCTGTATCTTATAATCATTCTAACATTAAAACGAATGTATTTCGTCACGTTACTTTATTACTTGATACACAATAAATCTGTACATATTTCATCTGTAAAAAAAGAAAGAATGTTTTTTAAGAAACGCTTGCATTTGTTTCGTGTATACCTTTATTGTGTAATTAACATACACATCAAGCTATTGTACATATTGATCATATTAAATACCCGGAATCGTCAGGACCGAATCATCAACCAATCAGAATAGAGACATTCTTTTCATAACCTTTCTAGTGTCGCGCTGTCTCCTGAACTGCACGACGTTGGAGAGGAAAAATTGCATTTCACATGAGAATTCGCTTACGTTGTACTCCTGAATACGCATGAACATACAAATAGTATATCATGTAAAATCTATCGACCTTAGAATATATCTAAGGTCGACGGTAGGAAGCATGGACAGAGAATGGATAGAAAATGTAACAATTAACGATTTTCCAAGCGCGACGCTGTGGAGGGAATACTGTAATGGGAACACTTTTATGAACAAGGCTATGGACATAGCCTGACTTGAAGAGGGATTTGTCCGCTGTGCTTGTGAGTGTCGAAACGTGGAAGCACTATGTTATGTACTGTGGATTTTATCCGGAAATGAAGGAAATTATGTACATTCTATAACGATCTGGTTCTGCAAATCGAAAAGAGAAAAAACATTAACAGTAATCAGTTTACATCAATAATAATCTTCGTCGTATATTTAATAAAAAAAAAAGACATAGTAGAGTAGGTCATTTCAAATGATGTCAATGGATTTACTTACACGTTCATCACAATGTTTTACGACTGAGAATTCCCTTACATACTCGAAATTGTTATATCATAAGTAACACACATACGTACATCGTGTAGTCTCATTGTAGAAATTTTTAGTCACCAATAATGGGATTAGGTTTTCGGTCAAAGATACCGCTGATTATCATATCAATCTTCCTGCTGTGGCAGTCGTCAAAAGTTTGGCGAAGTTTCACTCAGGAGAAAACCAATACAGAAGGTAAAAATGTGTATTTATCAATATAACATAGTCAGGTGTAACTTGATTTGAACATATGGATCTCTTTTTCGTAAATTTGTATACAGTCTTATTTTGTAAATTGTTTTAAAATGAGATTAAAATTATGAATGTAAATTGTTTTTTTTCTATACACATTAATTCTGATGTGGTTTAATACTATATCTAACCTGTTTTCAATTTAATAAACATCAAAAAAGCAAAGTATATGATCGATATTAAAATATTTTTGATATGATTTTGTCAAGTAACAATTGCAATCGAAGTTTATCAATTTTCTCGATTTTAATGGATATTTGCTAAGTTATGTATAGCACAGTTTCAAGACGACCAAGCGATAACATTAAGCCAAAAAGATGAGCACAAGGAACAAAAGGTCCACATTGAGGTCTATTATGAAGCCCTATGTCCAGATTCGCGTAGTTTCTTCATTAAACAATTATTACCTACATATCACAAGATTCCGGATAACTTAGAAGTGGAATTGATACCTTATGGGAAAGCTACGGTAAGCTATTTTATAAAATAGTAAACTAATTGATTTTTAATGTTTAAAAATTATATTTAATACATAGTGGGAATATGTATAAATTAAAAAATAATATCTTAAATGAGAACTTTCTTGTGCAGACAATGAAAACGGATCATGGTTACAAATTCACGTGCCAACATGGACATATTGAATGCAATGCAAATATTATTCATGCATGTTCTATAGATGTTCTAAAGAATTCATCCAGTCAATTAGAATATATATCTTGTATGATTAAAAATAACTTAGAGCCAATTAATATTATGGAAATTTGTGCACGGAAGATGAAAATAGATATTAAGCCAATTTTGAAATGTTTTATTGAGGAGAAAGGTAAAGAACTTTTAGCTAAATATGGAGAGAAAACAAATTCTTTAAAGCCAAGAGTTTCTTTTATACCAACCATAACAATCGATGGGGTAAGTCTAGAAAGTTTTTCATGTAAAATACCATTTCACACAGTTATTGTTGAGAACTAAGATTAGACGAAGAAAAAGGAGTTACCCATGTACACATACATTCCTTATATAACATATATCTATAGTATATTTTAATATATGCATATTTTTAGAATTCAGACTACCAGGCACGGATACTAAAAAATTTGCTGCAGGAAGTGTGCCTACATCTTAAAGTCTTGCCAGAGGCTTGTAAATTGTAAAAATACAATGAGTATTCACATATCTTTTTAACAGATATGTATATATATGACATATAATATTTTTTACATAAATTTTCATATATTTAATATATAGTGAAAATTTCTGAAAAGAAGAACATGATAATTTTTATACAAAATATTGAAAATATAGATGCGTATGCAAACCAATATATTTTTTGTTGAAATGAAGATCAAAAATTCTTTTTCCTAAACCATTATTTGAAAATTCACATTTTTCACGGGAGACAAAACAAAGGGCTCCTCACTTCACGCGCGGGTTCAACTTTCCAAGCACCCATTCTCCAACCGGACCTCCGATTGTCTCCCGTGGACACCACTGATTTATGACAAAATTAGAGCATCAAAAAATAAACTAAAGGTACAAATTTGTTTACAAGAATCTACTGCATCGATATCATATAAAGTGACAACTTTGCGAAACAATTAATTGCTCTTTGAAGCTTGGTTCATTATATATGTTCATTAATTACATTTTCTGTTGTTATTTGGTTTTCTTACACGATGTCGACGCAGCAGATTCTTCTAAAGAGATCTGTGGCCTTAATTTACGTTTTGGTTGCCTAATTTCACCATAATTAATGTTTATAAACGGGCTGCATAGTGGGTGGCGGTGACGCCTCTTTTGGTAAAAAAAGGAAGCTCCGTACGGGGTTCGTACAACGCCAATTAGGCTGGTGGGAAAACGCTCAAATTATTAGCCAAATTACCAACAGTTGATTTTGGCTAACAGTTTGAGCGTTTTGTCACCGGACTAATTGGCGCTGTACGGACCTCGAACGGAGCTTCCAGCTCTTGCCACAAGAGGCGCCATTGTTTGGCTAGAAGTTTCAGCGTTTTGCTATTTACTAATTGGCGCTGTACGAACCCCGTACGAAGCTTCATTTTTTCTCCAAAAGAGGCGCTATTATCGACCGTGTGCACAACGCAGTGTAGTCTAAATAATTAGACTTAAATTTTTAATTATGACAATGATGTGAAGACATGGAGACAAAACGACGGGCCCTTCATCTGCTTACTTCTCCACAACCAAGGAAATATATGATAACAAGTTTCTCCGTATCCGTAGCACATTCGTCGAGAACATAGGGCGCGAAATTACGAAAAAGAGTAAAGTGTGTGCAACCAAAAACGAGCTAATAACTATAATTTCACATTAAACTTAATTTTTTTAATTTCTTCTCAGCATTGCCATCTCAAAATTCAAGATTTCGGAACAGTCGTGTCATCCGTAGGAGTTAAAAAGATACTCCCCGCTTTAAAGCCAAAACTGGAAACAGTAATATTTAAAAATTAGAATTTAAAGATTATATCAGTATTAAAAGGAAGGAATCTAGAAATAGGGATTTGTGAAAAAGGATCTATAAATAGAAATAATAAAATTCCAGATATTGTAATGGTAATAAGAAATGATAGAGACAAAAACTATTAGATGTGGTACGGGAATTTACAAGAAAGAAAAAAATTTGATTAATAAATAATACTAAGGTTTGAATAACGTCTAGCAAATTCTGGTTAAAGTGCCTGTTGGACTCACTGCAGGTAGTTATCGCTATTGCTACATTGTTAAATTTATAAACGTATTTTTTAGTATTATGTCCAATAAATATAATGTTCACTGTACAATGCATAAAATTAAATTTATCAACATATAAATAAATATTTTTAATTAAAATTTCTGGTAAAATAATTTTATATAAAATTGATATTTTTTTGTTAGGTGATTGATAATTCACACTACAGTATTGAACCTACGAAATTTTAGAAAAATGTTTGGTATGAAAAATTATAATGAAAAAATTTGGAGCTTTACGTTAGCATATAGTCAAGAATCGATCGATTGTTTAATATATGGGAACAATTTATTAACTTAATATCAACACTTTATACAAACTGTATCGCTTCGTCACGCACGATAAGTGAAATATGCCTTTGATATGGCAGAGAATATCTCACATACAATAGAAATAATGAACATACACATTGTAGATACAAGAGAAAAAAAACGTATAGAGAGAAATACCTCTTTAAACCGAATGAGTAACCATAAAAAATAAATAATTTCTTATTCGCGTCACGACGTAGTTTCATAGATATCGCATTTAATATATTTTATGTATATTTATGAAGGAAGGATTGAGAACAAGTGACTTGAATAGAATTTCCAACTATTTATTTGTAACGAATGAATATTTCAAGAAACGATTTTTAGTAAAAACTAGAATGCGATCGTTTTTACAACTGATCTCAAGCTATGTTTACTCTTGAGACACAATACCGATTTTTCATATATTCCTCTTCTTTTAAACTTTAATATCGGCTCTTAACGCTTGAGTGAGGGACTCTCGTAAAATTATACTTTATTCTTTTTTTAAATACGAAAAAATTAGTGTAGAGTATGTATAATTGGCGACACGAATATAAAATTAATATTAAATACTGGAATATATTCTTTATAACTTAGACTTAAACACTAACTGTCAATGATCGATGAAACGAGCAATAACTGTAAGCATTTAAATATAGGGATGTTGCTCGAATGAACTCTATATCACCATTTACAAAAGAACTTCTTCGCGATTATTCTTCCTTTTCTTTTTTTTTTTTTTTACAAAGTGAGAACACTTTCGCTGTGGATCGTTAGTTTTAATTTTTCTTTTCGCAACAACGATAAACAGCTATCAGAAGGATCGCAAGTGAAATAAAATTGTTTAAGATCTCATTGCTCTCTCAAATTTTTTCTTGTGATTTGTATACCACTAAATCATTGGCGAGAATCTTCGAATCGAATAAAATTTTGAGAAGGATATGTTGACGCGAATCTTTTTTTGACAGTAAATAACTCATACATACATCCTGTTCGGCAAACAATTTCCTAGATATGCTATTGAAAAATGATGATGAGATAAAAACGGCTGAAACGAGAGGTCCATTGGTGAATGAAGGAAACGAATTGAGTAGTTGTGACCTAAAAATGAAGATACATTTATTTTGTCTTTTTATGATCAATGCAATCTAGGTCACCAGAAATACAAGTACTTCTCATTTTGTTCACTTCAATATTAAATAATAAAGGACTGTGGAGGAATTGTTTCTTTTTTCTTTTCTTCCTTTTTTTCGTAAATTAGTTTTATATATATTTATATAAATATATACATATATATGCATATATATAAATATACATATACATATATATATAAATATATGAATATAATATATATTACATATATATTATGACTGAACCACCGACGACACACGCTTGTGTTTTCACCGTCCGGTGTCTGTTCATTACTCTTAGTTCTTAAGTAACATTATCGTACGAATCGCACAAAATCACACCAGTTTCTCTTGTTCTAGTTTCTCTGCTTACGAGACGACTGGCACGCACCCCTGGGCGAAGGAAAATATAATGCACCGATCATTGTGACTTGAATGCCATTTTAATCCCTCATCCCTATTTCTCCGTTGTTTCAATTTTTTAAAATATTTCAACAAAAGTGGTGTCGACGTTGCATGTATACGCGCGCGCGTTATTTTAAGGCTTTTTGATGGAGAGAAGATACAAACGAGAGATTAGAATGAAAACTGGGTTGCAGAACGCACTTGGTGAAATGTATGTTTTGTGTGAGTGTTTGTTTTTCTGTGTGTAGAATGCGTATTATATGTTCTATATACGTATATATACATACCTATTACACACGTATACACATATACATACATAGGACATATAGTAATGTCGAAAAAGCATAGAGAATGAAGTTTATTACTAAGAATGTTAAGACGCCAATAGGGCTCAATTCGTGGAACGTAGGTCCAAGAGTAAAATTACGCTTCAACAAACTTCTCGAAGGTTCTTCATTTTCGGTGTTTTTTTTTCTTTTTTTAATTTTTATCCCCATACACTTTTTCTGCGATAATTTTTGTTTAATTATTGAACAAATTAGATCATCCCGCTAATGGCGCAACAAGAAATCCAGTGTGCACAGAATCATCGATAAAAGCTAAAGGTCGAAGTTCCTGTTGTCTTTTTGAACGCTGGAAAACTATGCCCAGTCCGAATTTTCTTCGGTGAAACGATACAAACGCTAACCACGAAGTTACTGATAAAGTCTTTTGTTACGACATAAGCTGTATCGAAGATGGAGCATCAAGTACATTTCCATACTAGAAGATCGAAACAAAGCAAGACTTAATATTTTTCGGGTTTAAATATTTCAATCATTAAACAAGTTTACATGATGCGCTACAGTAATTGTAGTTCCTTTCTTTCTTCGCATACTTTTCCTCTCTCTCCTGCCCATCGAGAAAAAGTTTATTTTTTCTTACTACATCGAAAAGTCGTAGAATCCCTAAAGAAACTTTGTAAGAACTTGTATAGAAGAAACAGGAAAAGGCCAAAAAGAGAGGAAAGTAAGAGAACATACTTATTTTAGTTTTATCATCAACATATGCGCGCATCTGTTTTGTTTTTACACATATATCTATCTAACGATTTTTTAATTATACTCTTTTATACGGAAATAAATTTTTCTTGTATATACGTGTATGTTGTATATTTTCATTTTTTTGTATCCGTGTATGTGCGCGTGTATTATGTACTTTTATGTCCATGTTGTATGTGTATGTGTGACTAAGTATTTTGTGTATTTAAAGATAATGATTTTTAGTGGTATAACTTTTTTTTAATTAAACAATTGCCCGAGTTACTTATCGTTAATGATGATTAACGCGTGTTGGACGTAGACTTTTCGCATTTTTATAGACATCATTGCGTCCAGATACAAGATTTTTTCACTTTCTGGTCGATTCGCGTTTTGTTAACATTATTTTTTTCTTTGTTTCTTGATTTATTTTAGTACGTCAACACCACTCCGAGTTGCAAGTTTTTCCATTACACAGGTTGCATTCACTTTGATGTCATCATTGTGACGAATTCTACACAGACAAAAATGACAACACTTATAAATGTTACTTCAAATTAGGAATTTACTATCGAAAGATAATGCAAAGAGATTCGTACGAAACAATAGTAAACTATAGAGAATATATATTTTTATACAACCTTCATAATTAACTTGGCCATCACCATCAATGTCAGCCTCCCGAATCATTTCATCTACTTCCTCATCAGTTAGTTTCTCTCCAAGATTTGTCATAACATGTCTGAGTTCCGCTGCAGATATGAAACCATTTCCATCCTTATCAAATACTCTGAAGGCCTCCCTAATTTCCTCCTCACTGTCAGTGTCCTTCATTTTGCGAGCCATCATGGTTAAGAACTCCGGAAAATCGATTGTGCCATTACCTACAATTCCAAGTATTTTTAATTTCGATTTTTTCTGAAATCAGATTTTTTCCAATATTTTTAATAAGAGGGTATTAATAACAACACAAAATGTTTCTCTTTCTTACTTTCATTATGCAAATAAATAATATATTGCCTATGTTGCATGCAATGTAGGGAATACAAAAATTGCATAATGAATAAGGAAAAATAATATTTTAAAATTATAGCGGAATGAAATTAAAGTAAAATACCATCTGCATCCACTTCATTAATCATATCCTGAAGCTCAGCTTCTGTAGGATTTTGACCTAGCGATCGCATAACTGTACCCAACTCTTTGGTTGTAATGGTACCATCTCCATCTTTGTCAAATAGCGAGAATGCTTCCTTGAATTCTGCAATTTGTTCTTCTGTGAGTTGATCAGCCTTAAATCAGAAAAATGTATTTTATAGTGTCCATTTGGGAATACTGTATCGTCCTATTTCGTACAGGCATGAAATATTTTCTGCGGCGACATAAATTCTATTTTTAATATATTCTATTAAGAATAAAATGAAATTGTAAATTGAAAATTGTATAAA